CGTACACCATGTTTTAAATCGAACGCAAGGCCGGTTTGATAAATCGTTTTATCGTTTTATTCGTTTGGCAATTTGAACACGTGAAATTAATTTTTCATTGATCAGATTCGAAGGTATGAAAGGAATTTGACATTTCCTTATCAACGGTGCCGGACTGCAGGTGCCTAAATCCTCATTAATTCATTAACTGAAGTCCTTGATGGTATCATATTATCATTTTCACAATTTATTTATCATTTATTTTTAATGAAATTTCTCCAGGCTTCGCTTGCAAATTGAAAATATTTATCAATCAAGACAATTATTTGATCTTCATTAGAAAGAATAATGTAGTGTACAGAACACCATTAAGTATGGCAGCGGAGATGCTCCTGAACTTCTGAGAACCATGCTGCTTGTACGATGTCAGTACGTCTGTTGGGAGATAATATTATAATTTATAGCATAGATGTCAGGAAATTGTACACTGGACAGGATGCTGGTCTCTCACTACATTCGTTTTAACTTTTAACTCAGCATGTTTCTTAACGTCCTGTGCAAGCAGACATATTATAGATCGATCGAGTGTCTGGGTACATTCGACTCCAGTTTATGAGAAATTACGTTCGTCCGGAATTGTTTTGGTAAAACAATCGCCAGGGGTACAATTATTCGAATTTAATTAATATGGATTTAATATAGAGTTAGTACCTACTTTTATACTTTTCCCCCGTTAAAAATGTGCAAATCGAAACCTATTATTTCATTATTCGGCAAACACGGTAAATATTTATTTGTTTGTGACACTAAGATCTCCTTCACTGAGTTCTTGTAAGCCGGAAAATGCGATTAAAATGCTACGAGTTGGCGAGTTGATTCTGCGAGTTAAACCCGTAAGAGTTTAACAAGGTAGGAACCTATTCCGTTGCTACGGACTTTTCCTTCCGACCAAGGATGGTAATGATTTTTTCGCTTGAATTGTGCTATTTTTTGATCAGTGGAACAGGATCCAGCAGTGACAAATAACCTGTGACGCGTCTATAGAGCGAGGCGCCACTCGTCTCCAAGAAAGCTATCGCTGGTGCAGAAGGTCATAGACTACTTGTTGCCGGATGCGTTGAGGGCAAATGCGAGTTACCAAGCGAATATTTACGGACTAGCTTTCATCTTTTAAAAGGTTTCTATCTCTAGTACAGAAGTTTGCAAATTATGTAGGTTCTATGTCACATAGGGGGAATTTTTTCTAACATTTTTCGCAAAATAACTCTTTCTTTGCTGCTATTTGAAGTTTATTCAACATCTCAGGGTTGATCAATGTTTGTGCATTGTTCAGGTGTAAATAATTATTCGGTTCACCGAAGGTGGTATTTTGAGAATATATTGAAGACCCTGAACCCGGCCTGCTGAACTGTAGTGTTTGTTTGTATTTAGCAGCGATTGCTGAAGTGAAGCGTATATCGACAGCTCGCAGTGCCAGTATTTGAGGCATCGAAAAAAGTTCACAAAATTTTCCCTGTCGGTGCAGTGTAATGCAGGATCAACACCTCTTTCTTCTCAAACAATGCCGTGTTCGAAACGGACCTTGGCCACGCTTAGTCTTGATTATATTTTAGTTTGCCTGTTCGTTAAACGTAGGCATGTACACTTTTTACCATCATTCTAACAAAATTACTTCAAGTATCTAAATGATCCTTTCCTGGATGAGGGACTCTCAATTATAGTTGGGATATTTTTCATTTCTCTTTTAGAATACACGAAATAGAAAGTACAAGCCTTTGTTGTTTGCACCCTCTGACGGGCATAATGCATATGGCGAGCGGATAAAAGTTCTCACGTCCGATGAGCCTCTTGAAACTAGCCCCAATATCTTGAGTGGACATGTCCCGTGCTGAACAGAAGCTTTCAATGCTGAATCTTTTCAGTTTTAAGTGAACCTATGTACAAGTGGTACAACCTACACTCCTACAGCGTAACTGCACAAACTGTGATCGGTATTTTGAGGAATGTTCTGATTGTTTTCCTCCGAAGTAATTTTCATCTGAATTTTTTAACCGTAACATACTTAGAAAAAATGTGATTATCAGTAAAACGGAATCCCAGTAGACCGTTTGAACATTAAAAATTACCTATTCAGTTCAATTTAAATCCTGATTTTATTGTGACTCGTGATTTTTTAATTGTTTTTGAGTCCAAATATTTTGATTGAATTATATCTACAAATTACAATAGAGTACCTGAGAAAGTTTTTCTCTCTAACTGTTCAAAGAAAACGGCTACGATTTGGACATAATGCGGAAACTTTTCTGGTGAACATCAATTATCTTCCAGCAAACTTGGCTCTGGTTCATTGTTTCAACTAAATTAGTAAAGTCTTTAAATTTTAATCATAAATTACAATGAATGTCTAACTATTAATTGAATAATTTTTTACATCATTAAGTTAAGTAAGAATGGTAATAATTTCTGTATTTTTATATCAACAAATCTTCCTTACAAATTTTACTACTGAAATTTGTCACTAAATTTCACATTTAGTTTAACTCGTTAATTTCCTACTTAACTGGAATATATAGCTTAAATGCAGCCTATAGTTCTTATCCATTAGAAATTGTGAATAGATATGTATTCACTTCATTATTCTGCCCTTTGCCTGTAAATTTTGGTTTTTAACTTCTGTGTTTTTTTCTTTTGACTCCAAACTTCATTAATTTTCTGACTGTATTTGTGTTCTAGATTTATCGAACTGACGATGGAGCTGGTCTCCGAAACGTTTTCAATATAGATATGCTGAATTTTTGTGGAGTGTTCTTCGCTTTTAAATTTTTAGTTAATCTGGCGATTCATCATTCAAGCAATCTAGTGGCATTATAAGTTATAACTGGATTATGTTGATAATAAACTCGTATCGGATATTGTTTTTCCTCTTTACAAAAGTGTTTTGTGATTATACTATATTGTCACTATGTCATTATCATTTTTTCGCATACGGCATTTCTCCTACACTTTAATAATATTCTAAATTCTTTTTTGCCCTTTATTTTTCTGTTTACCCTTTTTAATGTTTACTCGGGTCATTTGGTTTTTGCAACGATTTTTCCTCTGTTAAACACGTATGTATTAGTCTCTGTGGTAAAATTTTTATTTCATTAACTCCTCTCGCATTTGTGAAGATTAGCTTGCACTGCTCGCTCAACTTGTGGTTCAGCAATGCATACGTACGGTATATACGGTCAGTCAACTAAGAGAAATGTTCAATTATCATCACCGCTCATGTTATTCCTACCAAATGCTGCACGCCTCTAGTGGCCTTTCAACAAAACTATAAATAGAAGATGAGAGCTAGCGAAAATAGTCGCCTGGGATGGGATGGTTGCCAGTGTTGTCAAGAGGTCACCTTCTTATGTCTTGAATATGATCGTCTGTCTGCATGATTTTGTCATTTAAAAATCTAAGATTGAGCGTTTAAAACCATTTTATTTTTCTTGATAATGAATGTTTATTGGAATCGTCGTTCAAATAAATAAAGAATCCATTGGAAACCTCGTGTAATTCCAGATTCGACAAAGCGCCTTATACGCAAAATTGCTGAATGCAATAAGTAAACGGCTTTTAAGGATTACTCTCTGGTCTCCCACAAAACTTGCAGGAAAGAAAGACTTCTATCCAACTATATTTCCCTTGAAAGCAGACTACGTATAGTACATCGATGCAGGAATGCCGCTATTATATTGTGTAACCGTGAATCTCTGTTGCGAATCGCACGAGTGATGTAAAGAATATAAATAAAAATATTGATATTTTTAAATCTCAGGCTATTTTCATTTTATTTTGCTGTGTAGTGGAACAAAAATTGTGTGTCATAGAAGTAGTTATAATAACCCTGGAGGGGAGTGAGGAAAAAAGTAGAATATATAGAAATCTAGTTCCTATAGAATTGATACGCAGGAAACGCTGCTATTGGGCGTCAAATGCAAACTATTTCTTCCCAAAATGTTCTAAAAAGCCTGTATTTCGTTGGCATGCAATTGAAGCTCATTGTTATTTTGCATGCATGTTTCCCAAACCACACAAATTGTTCTGGGAAGATGAATGACTGCAGCGTGGCCGTGAGGGCTGTCCCGGGTGCCAAGTATGAACAGAACCTTCGCATGTTGGTAGACTTGGTGCGATGCAGGAGCAGTTCGTTGTTGCATGCTGCCGTATCTGTGCCTGCGTCGTGCGTGCGGTGAAGCTCTTGGCGTGATGTAGCTCTTCTGACCTTCAATTTCAAACCATGACCTTAACTATTTCTCATTACACCAGGCTACACGAGTTTTGATGGCATTGGCGTGGTCACCTGTGAAATCAATATGTGATATGGTTGACAAAATTCGTCAACTTAAAAGTTTTTCTCCTACTATTGTTTTTTTTCTGCGTATTTATATGTGCAAGATCCCTACTTCTGGAATTCCAACAATTCTAATTGATGAATATATATGTAGGCTAGAAGCTTGGTCAGTTGAGGCTGTGTATTTGTCAAGGTTAATGCGCAGGGTTTGTTTACGTAACGTAGCTCCGTGCACTAAACACATGCTTCGGAAGCTGCTCTAGCGCTTGAAATACTCTACGTAGAACTTCGATTTTACGTAGTGCAATATCTTGATAACCAAGAAAAACATTCAAAATTGACAAATTTTGGGCTTCCTAAATTTGGTGCCGCTAATGCAAATCAAATGCTTACAAAAATGTATTGTAGTGACATACTAAAAAACTTGAATTTTGATGCGTATTTATCGCAGAATTTTATGTGAAAAAACCCTACTGATCTAAAGTAATATAGCTGAAAATAACGCGGTTATGAACTTTCAATGCACCAGTTGATGTGGTGGAGAATTTTTTCAGTAACAAGAGATCAACAAAATATATATTTACATAACTTTGAGCACAAATCACTTTCGAATGAAGCTTGATGGACAGCAAATTGACCAGAAGTGCCTTGACCATTTGATCTGTGATGGACACATTTCCGAAGGTGAGGTCACATGGACGAAAGTTGTAAGAGCCCTCAAGAGGGCGACGGGACCCCGGATATCCTGAGTCGTCCCGTGCATTACCCCCAACAACAGCACTTGGTTGCGTCCTATGGGGGGGAAGGATCGCAACTCTCGGAGCGCTGCAACGAAGAACTAAAGCGTCCCTGGTCCTACGGAGGGAGATCTGGGGGACTGTTGGCGCCTCCCGGCTACTACAGTTCTACTCAAAAGCAGCTCGACGAATTCGAGGAAGTCATCAGTAAGATGGCGACTATGACGCGCTGCCCTCCACCATACCCCGGCAATGTGGAACGTGGTTGCAATGAATTAGGAGTCGCTGCAGCCACTGATTTAGGATTTAGTGGCTGCAATGAATTAGGAGTCTGTAATAGGAGACAAGTTTATCCGGGATGTCGCGAGACTCCGGTTACCCACGACCCTTACAACATCGGCTGCGGCAACGAAGCGCATGATGTCCAGAGTAATGACTTCGCCAACTCTCAAGCTGTGGACAATATTTCGTCCTGTGGCGCTGCGAAGTTTTCAGATTCTGCACATTCCAGAATGAGCTTATCGGCAGCTTTTCAAAACTGCGCTAACGCCTCTCATTGTCCAACTGATACCGGACTATACGAAAACAAGGATCACGGGAACCTAGGCCTTCCTGCTGCAACCACCTGCCTTCCGCCCTCTTACCATGGAACTCAACAAGGTGTTCATGTTTCTCCTGGGCGCCAACCACTCAACTCACCCAGGCCTTCGCCTTATCCTTCTCCTTTGACGTCTCCCAATCCTGAGACTCCTCCACCGTCGAATCCTCCGTCTCGGAGGTCGTCATTGAGCAGACTTCATCAGCAGGTGCCGGTCTCGCCGTGCAGGATTCACGTGTCCGCCCCCTGGGAGCCCAGGTCTCGGCCTATGCTCTACAATGCGTGAGTTTTAGCTACACTCAATTCTGATATGATTATTCTACAGCGAAAATTCAATTGATACGTGTTAAAAAGCTTTACAATCTATCATATTTTTTCTTCTAAAGTATTCGAAAATATAAGACTGCAGATTATAAATCCAATAAAAGTAAATTGTGTTAATGTTACTTACTCATCAATTCCATAAGATATACATTAGCGACGCGGTTCTGTACACGTTTCTTGGCACTAAGTCTACGCAGCGAGATTTTTTCCGTGTGTCCGTGCTAAAGTTTCTTTGGTGTTTCCGTGACAACCTTCGTCTTCTTGCCCTCCTCCCACGCATTCACACCTGTCGCTCTTTGTCTCCGTTAATAAATCACCTTCATTTCACAACGCTTATGAAACAAAGTTTCAAGGTCTCCTTAGATTTTTGCGCTTTTGTTGCTGAAGCGGAAGTAAATGCCAGAGTATTCTGCATGTGAATTGAATTGATCATTGAATTTCAGCAATGGTCAGGTAACGCATAAATATTAATTAAATAGAATGAAAAAAGGAAAGGAATGTTAGTAAATTTTCTCATCGTTGTGGTGTCACCGTGGTTCAAATTTATGAATCTAGCAGCTTAATTCGGCGTTAATACGATCCCTGAGATTTAGTGAGATTAAATAAACCGATGGGATAGATGCTCATGATATTTGAAAAAACTATTCAGAATTATTTTGTGACTTTTTAAAATTAAATCATTAATTAAAACCTTCCATTTATATACATAGAATTCCCATTTATATATTTTCCGTGGAAATGTCTGAAAGAAATTTCAATTTCTGTTAACAGTCAATATTTGAGTTAAAATTAAGAAATAATGACATTTTTATTGCTACTCCCCTCTTCGATGATTTCTTATTCAACGACTAAAAACGAAATTGTAGGCCTCATAAACCCAAGTGTATTCCCACATATATTTATATTATAAAGCATATTATAATATTATAAAACACATATTATATTATAAAACAGACACACTTTCACATATACATATTTAATTAGTATATCACGAAGATATATATCATGGTACGAATTTGGCTGTGCCCATACTAATTCTTTTATGCAATTAATTATAAGCCAGCACTTCATTAGTCATTAACTAAAATAAATTATTTGTATTCATCTCAGGAATTTATTTTCTCGTTAGTATTTAAGCTAGCCAAAATATGATGCAAATACGGTACACTTGCACATGTCAACCGTGATGAAAAATATCGTGCAGCGTTGATGCAGACGGTTTGCTGGTATGCATTTTATGATCGCCAGCCATATTTACTGCAAGAAAGATTCAAGTGTCAGCGTTCAGTGTTCTCGGTGTTAGCGTTTGGCAGAGTAACAGCGATCTACCTGTCAATTGCGACAGCGCTAAAACGGTGACCGTCGCGCCCCATGTCAGTTGGGCGCATGTCAAAATTACGCGCATATTTGCTTGATGATCATCGCTGGACGTGCAATGCAGTGCCTTGTAATTGCATTTTTATTATTTACCTTGAATGCGGCGACCGGTAAATGTTTTACAGTGCTTGCAACGATTATAAATATTTTCAGAGTGAGAAGTAAGCATGAAATTTCTTCCTTGAGAGAGGTAAACGTAATTTATATGTCATTCGAGAGGAAATCGTGAGACACTTGTCTTGCGAGATGCAACTATGAAATAATATATAGGTACCTCTTGAAAATGATCTCGAATTGCCGTGTCCAGCTATAATTCATAGAAATTTCAGACGGGATTCATGCCAATCATCACCTTATCCAATCTTATTCTCGAGAAATTAAAAAATTGCTATAATTTTTAATATCCCTAAATATAAAATATTAGCTTTTAATAGATATTAGCTTTTTCTGATTTTTCATTTGTCGGTAAAAGTTGTACTAAATCTAATTGGCGACCGTATTGGAATCTAATTTTTATTTGAAATTACTCCATGATTTTTGTTAAAATTTTTATTTGTCATGCCGGTACCATGTATCCTGAACTATTCGGTCGTTTCTTTTTAATCACTAATTTAAATAATTTAATATTTACTTGTTTGAAGAACTACATTTAGGGTTCTTGTGACTTTAATTCTAACATTTTTGCTCCAAGTTACCTGAACTCACCCTTAGACAGCTGTATTTCATAACGCAATGCTTCCTTCCTCTAGACACGCATGCATCGACTTGCCTGTCCCGTCTTGAATTGGCAACGCGCGCATCGCTCTGGTCGCTATAATGACATGTGTACGCTACAATATGACATATTGCAGGTAGCTAAGTGTCATCGTAAATATTCTAGTGACTGGCACTAATCCTGTATCACATTTCGTCGGGAAACGTACCATTACCANCATTACCATTAAAAAAAAACTGCTTGCATGCCAACACCTCGCACGTGTCTTTTCGTTCTTACGGGATCAATTGACAAGATTATCTTCCCAGTCATTATTTCTGAACTACAGTATTTACAATTTTTTCAGGAAATATATAGACGTTCAGAAGTAAAAGAAAGAAAACGCATTTAACTTCATATTTGAAGGCTATTTGTGTATTTTGATATTTGTGTATTTTTTCTAAATAACGTTAAATTAAAGTATGCCACTTAAGAACAGCATTCTACACTGTTAGAAAAATTACCGTTAACGGTATTACCGGCGTTTCAGTGGCCGGTCGGCACGTGAAAAGAAACACCGTGTCGCCGTTTTTATTCTAATTTAACACTAGAAATCCGTAGAATATCTGATAAAAACAGCAAAACAGTTTATTTTCACGGGGCGACCGGCCACTAGAACGCCAGTGGGACCGTTTTTTCACCGTTTTTTCTAACAGTGTAGTTTTCAACCAAAATACTCCCCCCCCCTCCCGTTCTGCAATTTTCCCTCATTTCACTTCTAAAATCTTAGTCCCACATGAATATTCCTTATCGATTGACGTTATCACTGTAATGGGTACACGCTTGAATAACAACTGTTTATTTTCAAGGCCCATCTCCTAACTCACTCACATAATATTTCCTCCAATGTTTCTTCGCCAGTAAATCTGAAGCCGTTTACCACCATTACCTCAAATCGGCGATTATCGTCGACAGTAGAAAAATATTCTCATTAAATTGCGCTGTTACGCTACTTCTGCAACGCATTTGAAGCGACTTTGAAAATTTGCCTCGCATAAATACAATTATACTGTTACGTAAGTTTACTATGATATACTCGTGCCAGACCTCCTGTCCCATGCACCCAATCACCCTACAAAATAGTGTTCATTTTCGCCACGCTGCCATTTCAGACCACGAATAAACGGTTGTCCTGTTGCGCCTTGGCAACTTAACTTCGCTTCACGCTGAAACTCTTTAGCAGCGACTGTGTTGTCTTTTAGAGAATGAAGAGAGGGAATTGAATAAATGCTGTTTAATTTGTTAGAACTTTTAAACATTCGCAGTTGTCGAGATTTGGCTTCGTATTCATAATTTCAAGTGTTTTATAGTTGTACGTACGCGGTTACATTCTTTAAAATTACTCCACTGTTTCTATAATAAAAGTTTTGTGAACGGCGCTGGCGTAGTAGCCTTAGCGCTATTTGTATCAGTTACCGCTATTGTTATGTTTGATATACGCCACTTATCTTTAACTTTTTCTAATGTTTAGACAGAAAATGTTTGTGTGTATAGAATATAAATGACGTCCGCGCGAATAGCTTTTTTTTAATCGCATCCTCACAAATGAGACCCCTTTCGTATTCAATTATGACTCGTTAATAACTTGAACATATTCAAAGACTAAGTTCAAGCTTTTCTCGCTAAACTTCTCGTCTCGCCACTTTCTTTTACGGCAGACCGAAAGTGGTTTGGGATCGTAGCTTGTCTGAATGATTTTTATGCACGGTGTCTTCCTCATGCTGAAAACGTATCCGAGTGTGTTACCTATTCAATCTTCGGCATTGTTGATCGCCTGCCAACATGAGAACTGTTTTTCATCATGTCTTATGCTTTGTATTGTCAAGGTTTTTAAATAAGATCTAGGTCTTAATTCCAGTGGTTGCATGCTTACTGAAATTACTGTGACATGAAGCGTTGTAAAATTATTTCAAGTTTATAGTGTAATGCTTTGTTTTGAGACGTACATTCTTCGAACAGAGAATACACTTCTCTGAACCAACCATGAGAGTTTGAATAAGATTCACTTAGATTTATTTTTCGAAAAGTGTTCCTTGCCTGTTCTTTGCTCATTGGCATATTGGAAATCTCTGGTTGAAGTCAGAATTGTATATAAATAAACTTTTTGTATTAAAACGCTTGTCTTCAGAAACGGCCAATATACACTAATTCGTGTAATTGGAAATTCTGGATTTGGCAATAATTCATGTTTTACGCATTTTCTCATTTATGGAAAAAAGGCACTATTGTGCTCGCCATGTCCGTCTGTCTGCCTGTCCGTTCGTGACTTCACGTTTTCGTCGACGAGAAAATGCGCTCACTGTGACTCACTTCAGTGAGTACTAAGTTATATTTTTTTAATCTTCATTCATACACAATTTGTTTAAGAGATTAACATATTTAATTTTTTTTATAATTTTGATACGCACAAAATTTGTTTGTGTTATTAAAGCGTTCTCCTTGCAGTCCTCCCGCGAGTGTCCGGTCAATCCACACAAACTCGAGGACTTCGTTCAAGCAGCAGCTTATGCGGACACAACAGCAACAGGAAGAACAAAGACTCAAACAGCAAGAAGAACGCAGGCTTAAACAGCAGCAACAGCAACTGCAATATCAACAGTTCAGTCCTCAACAGCAGCGAAGCTCGGCTATCGATGTAAGCAACCGAGATTTCGCTGTTTGTAAAATGGTCTTTATTCGCACTTATAATAATGTCTCCTTGACAGCAAATTTTCTCATAGGCATGTATTGCATTCTCTTAAACAAAATTGGATGTCCGAAACCAAAGCTTGAGCATCTCAGCTATTTTTTATACTACTCTCAAAAACTACTTCTAGTCTTCTACTATAAATATTTTTCATTAAAGTTTCTTGTTCATAATGATTGTTGTAAATTCGTACATATCAACCGATCTATTACCAACAGGTGATAGATCCTCGCTCGATCCAAGGCAACGGCCATCACAGCGTGGTCGGGGACGGTGGCCCATCGGGTTCAGTTCAGGTATAGAATTTACATCGGTAATGCAGTCGAAATGCCAGTTAATCAAATATCGTACATCTTCGATGTTGCCTTGTATCTCTTAATTTTCGGATGTTGTTACAAATGTATAATCAATATTAATTATTGCCTATTAAACAGTATGTTTCAAGACTCAATGATACTTGGATGGATGTTACGTTTGCGCTATCTCAATACATGTTCTCTCAGTGTCGCTCCCAATTGCATGCGAAAATGAGCAGCTGTCTAATGACAAGCAAGCTTTTTGGCTGTGATCTAATCTCGCTTGATAGAACGTTGGAAACTTTGGAAGGGCGTTCCTTTACTGAATTTTTTAATAAAAGATTTTTATTTCAAGGTTGCGACGAATTTATTTTCTAATCGGCATTTCAAACCTCAACCTATTTCGAAGAAAAAAGTGCTATTGCACTAATATCCAATTGTGTTCTCAAACGAGCGTTAACATGTTCAATCTGCTCTTGAATAACGCGAAGAATCCATGTACTAAAGATGAAATTATTTTAGTACGTATAAACTTTAATGGATGTTACTATGCTAAACAGGATGTCGTTCTCTATGCACACGTATTCGTGTAATTTTAAATCTGCTTAAAATTTTCTCGCTTGTACGCTTTCATGTTTTGTGAGTATAGAGTACTCGCTCATGTTGAGGTTATTTACTTTCGTTCACCACAAACTATGATGAGTTATTCCCATTGTTTATTAAAGTCTGCGCACTGGTCAATTCTTTATAGTTCCCCGAAAAAGGTTATCACGTGTTCTCCGCGAATCGCATTCTTTTCGTATAAGCGTCAATAAATTTAGACTACGGTATATACGGTTTAGACTACGGTTTTTTTAGCTTATACTTGCGGAGACCTCAATCAGACTGTTGTCATTATCGGTCGCTTTACGTGGACCTGACAAAGAAGAAACTGAGATTTCACCTATAAATATTTTTTTTGCGTCTTCCGTGAAACGAAATCTTCCTGAAGACTCGTGTTGATATAACATCCTTCAGACTCGGCAGCGACTATAACTATAACAGAGCCAATGATACTGGTCAGACTCAGCTGGAATTATTACATCATAAATGTTATCCATCAGACACTGCAACAACCACAATAGTGCCAATACAATTTTTCAAGCTTTTATAATAAGACAGAATGAATAACACGGCAATTATTCTGGCACCACAGTTGTCGAGCAGTTCCTTGATTTCTCTAGAGAAGGCCTCGGCAAGCCGATACTCTGGTTAGCGCGTCGGATCACGCTTTATATAACGCCTGTGCTCACAGTCACAGCTCTGAGGGCTCGTTCGTTGCCTTACTGTATGCTTTGAAAGGCTCCACTAGAACGTTGGTGCGACTTTCCTAGCCCGCCGTAAAATGTTAGAAAATCTGCTAAAATTTACCCTGAACGTTATATTAGTTTAGTATGTTCTGGTATTTGTGAGCATACATACAAGAATGAACGGGACATTACTTTTTCAAGTTCTTTTTGTGATAGGATTAATTTATTTTCAACGCGTTACATGTTATTTGAATATATTCAATTCTAAATGATTTTTTGTTCAATCTTCCATACATTGAAGCATGCTTCCGATAACCCCAAATGTCAACAACAATTCATATTTGGAAACAATTTTGTCAACATTCATTTGTCAACAAGGAAACAATTCATATTTGCAGGTGCAGTCTCTTCTGGAGAACCCAACGCTCTACCACGTTCTTCAAACGCGTGATCGCTTGGAACGTCACCAAACACCATCTTATTCTTTATAGTTCCCCGAAAAAGGTTATCACGTGTTCTCCGCGAATCGCATTCTTTTCGTATAAGCGTCAATAAATTTAGACTACGGTATATACAGTTTAGACTACGGTTTTTTTAGCTTATACTTGCGGAGACCTCAATCAGACTGTTGTCATTATCGGTCGCTTTACGTGGACCTGACAAAGAAGAAACTGAGATTTCACCTATAAATATTTTTTTTGCGTCTTCCGTGAAACGAAATCTTCCTGAAGACTCGTGTTGATATAACATCCTTCAGACTCGGCAGCGACTATAACTATAACAGAGCCAATGATACTGGTCAGACTCAGCTGGAATTATTACATCATAAATGTTATCCATCAGACACTGCAACAACCACAATAGTGCCAATACAATTTTTCAAGCTTTTATAATAAGACAGAATGAATAACACGGCAATTATTCTGGCACCACAGTTGTCGAGCAGTTCCTTGATTTCTCTAGAGAAGGCCTCGGCAAGCCGATACTCTGGTTAGCGCGTCGGATCACGCTTTATATAACGCCTGTGCTCACAGTCACAGCTCTGAGGGCTCGTTCGTTGCCTTACTGTATGCTTTGAAAGGCTCCACTAGAACGTTGGTGCGACTTTCCTAGCCCGCCGTAAAATGTTAGAAAATCTGCTAAAATTTACCCTGAACGTTATATTAGTTTAGTATGTTCTGGTATTTGTGAGCATACATACAAGAATGAACGGGACATTACTTTTTCAAGTTCTTTTTGTGATAGGATTAATTTATTTTCAACGCGTTACATGTTATTTGAATATATTCAATTCTAAATGATTTTTTGTTCAATCTTCCATACATTGAAGCATGCTTCCGATAACCCCAAATGTCAACAACAATTCATATTTGGAAACAATTTTGTCAACATTCATTTGTCAACAAGGAAACAATTCATATTTGCAGGTGCAGTCTCTCCTGGAAAACCCAACGCTGTACCACGTTCTTCAAACGCGTGATCGCTTGGAACGTCACCAAACACCATCTTCCTCTCACTCGTCCAATGGCGACTATCCTGCAGTTGCGGCTCAATTTCTCGACACAAATCGTGGACAACCACAACCCTCGGGGTTGTCCAGGTCGGCGATCGAAAGCACGCTCGTCGCGGGGAACGTTTGTTCGTCTTCGATGCAAAAACATAAAGGGTATTCCGTCATCTTGCCTCGGTCTGACCCTGGAATGACTGCCGATATACATCGAAATCGGCCCGCAGATGAAAGTGAGTTCTACTGTTAATTAAACTGTGAAATAGTTTGCTGTGAAAACACTGTGAATAGTTTGCATTTATTTCATGATTGAATAAGCGGCATTTTGCCTGCACTTGACGTTTTCTGATTATTGTAGTAGCTTTTTTCTTGGATGGTAAACGTATTTCCAACCACTGTTGAGATTTCCAACCTCTGTTGACGTAATTCGTAACGTATTTCCAACCCCTGTTGATGTTTCTTGCAGATGCTCGAGCATGCGCGACAGGCCCAATCCAGAATAATGAAATCTGCACGGACAATCAAAATGTTGCTTTCCAAGTACCTTCACTGGTACCTCAAGCCTCTGAGAGCTTAACCACAGCCTCTCACTTCTTTGGCACTCCAAAATCCGTGGAGATGGCGGACGAATTTCCTCACACATTCAAAAATTATGAAATGACAAACGGTTCAACAATGCAAAATAACCTACCTCCCTCTCAACGATCATGTTATTCCGAAGGCCAAATTGCCCTCTCAACGTCCCACTGTGGTGAAGCAAGACAGCTGCAAAATGCCCCGAATTCCCAAACAACTGGACGATCACAGCATGGTTACGATCAACGCCACAGTCCTAACCCATCGGTCAATTCTCACCAAAACATTTCGATGGAATTCTGCCAAGCCACCGAGCAGAATTCGAATCATTCCAGAAACTTTCATCAACATCCAGATCCGCGTCCGAGAGAGAGCACCGCAAACCATGTAAACAACGCTGCCGGCTCCGGGCAGTTGACACAAAGGACATCACAGTTCGCTATGGACGGCGCGGGCTCCCTTGGAGGCTTGTCGTCGCCTGCCGCTTCTGCCCCCGCCGTAGCATCCGTCGCTTCGTCCGGACTGTCGTCGGCACCAGCGTCGTATACATCCGATGTTTCTGAGGTGAGCTTTAAAAAATTTCATCGTTTTGAACAAGTTCATCGTTACTGCGGTTATTTCAAGTTAGTGTATCGATGCTGAATTATATCATTGGTCTTTGGTGAAGTACCTTCATATGTTCTTAGTTCAGATATCATAAATCTTATTCTAGCTCCTACTTCATATCATGTTATGTGTTTGCAGTAAGTCAAATTTTTTAGGAAAATCAAATTGTAGTGACGGTGTTTCGTCGACAGAAGATTCTGATGTTTATTTATTTCTGTTCTGCTACTTTATTGCGGTGGTTTCAATTTTTTATTTTTTATTAAAACATTCAATACCTCCTAATGAAGCTATTGTAGAAAAAACTCGTTATTCAATCAGGAAAAGTATAGCAGTGCAGCGTAAGGGCGACGTACAAATGTTAGTTGCTGACTGGAGCGGCGTGGCTTTTAAAGCTGCCGCTCCTGCACATCCTAATGTCAAAGGTGCTGCTGCAGGGTGCGCGGCCTCACGGCTTCGTGCTCTGATGTTTGGGGTTAAATTAATTTCGTTTTATTTTCCTTGTCCTATTCTGTCCAGGCTCGTATACTTTATTATCAGTATTCTCTGAATTTCATCTCGCAATGCGTTGGCCTAAGATAAAAGGTACACTTCTGATTCCAGGAACGATTAAAATCGCGTGCAATGATTTATATTATAATAATGTTCATCCGTTACAGGCTTTGTACATATTTTTTGTTTGTTCCTCATCATCTCGTGTAAAAAATATTAATTTGTATCTCTTTTAATTCGAACTCTAAATACCTGTCAAAATGCAGCACAGAAAATCGGTGTACAAATAATACCGAAATATTTCTCACGCTTCTGCGCATCATAGTTTTTAGGGAGATCTCCGGTAATGTTTTTGTGAGGCCGTTGTAGCATCTGTCTTCTGATAAGATGCGCATATCTGCGCCCTGAAGAGACAAGGCTGCTGCAGAGGCCTTATTACTTAATGGTCTCTTCATTTCTATGATCGAAATGTTCGTAGTGACACTTCACTTAGATAACAAAGATGGGCATGTAAATCGTCGCGCTGATAAGCCACCAACGGAAGTTGATACCCAAACCGCGGTATTTTCCCCAGTAATATTATTCGTGTTTGCGTTTTTCGCGTTCGTCTTTGTTTGTAAACAATCTTCATTCCGGAAATTCATGAAAACTTCTTTTGGATTTATTTTCTTTGATTTTTTTTAATCATGTGAAGGAAAAATAATGTAGTAATTACTAGACTTGCACTATAATTTTCACAGTGATCTTTGCGGGAGCTATAAATCGTTCTGAAATAGCCGCAATTAAGAATTCGTCTTCCTCTTGTTTTTTTTTTGCTGGACTGGCTAACTAGCCTTTATTTAGAACACAATCTTCTTTATACACGTCAGCCTTATTGTATGATTTGGGTATTTCGATTTTTGATCCAGTTTCTTGACTCGAATTACTGCTGGATTGAACAAAGAATGAAATTGATCTTTCGAACAGTCCCGTTGACTACACGGTTTTATAACCAAACCGAACTTATAAATTCTTCCAAAAGCGCAAGTTTTGCCGCCGTTTCCCTGCTGTATATACATGTAAAGCAAAATACGAGGGAATCTGCTTTGGCTTGGCTTGGTCGTTCGTTGTAGAAATCGCAGAGAAGTCTCTGTCTAGACCGTGCGGGGACTGCGTCGCGACTCTTCCCTCTCTTTACCTCTGACGCTCTGCTCTCTTCAGCGTACCCTCGGCCGTTGTTACATTAAATAAAAAGCATGCTGCCTGGTGTTGAAAGCCATTTTTCTATCAATTACGCAATTTATAGAGGCATCAATGGCGTTTGTATTGGAGGGATTGATTTTGATGCCAATATTGATTATTAAATTAGCTGTATACTAATAATTTTTTATTCATCGATGAGATGGTTTACGTAATTAGCATAATGTTTTCTAATCTATTATGTAATTGAAGTAATGCAAGTCGATGCCCTGAGATTGGTCGCTTTGAATAATTATGATCTGATGCTGAGACGTAGTTTACGGTTGATATCTTTATGATCTGCACTAGCCTCTTGGAGGTGGTGCTCATCCACGGTCTAAAAGCCTGTACGAACCTATCTGTTGTATGGTCTTATCTGCTCTCAGCTACTTCAAAGATGCCCTAATTTGTTCGCGTGTATTTCTTCCATTCAATTGCTTCTCTTCTCATGCCTGAAGAGATAAATAATGTCACAGGCGTAGTAAGTCATTACTCGTGCCCCCTGACTTCGCCCAGCTATTGTGCAACGTTTGAAACCTGAAAGCAGTTCTTGTGCCTGCGGTTTTTTTCTCGCTCATCTATGCGGACATTCTTAACAATTGACTCACCTCACATTATTGGCAGTGTTGACTTTTATTCAATTGACTCAACATTAAATTTCAAATTTTTTTATCAAAGGTGAAGCGTTGAGGTACATTCATGGCTCACGATTTTTTTTAATGCTAAATCGTTGATTTTTCTCAGCATTAACTGTAAAAAAATTGGCTTGTGTTAATTCTAATTCAGTCACTTTCGATCCATCGTATAACATAGTGTTGGGCACTGTTGTGCGCTATTATTTTATGAACAAATGTTGAAAATATGACAATTTCGTGAAATTTGATTCCAATCGATTGCCTACTTTTGATACAAGATTCTCGGTATTAATATTTGTGAGTTAATTCTCGATATTCTTGACTGTGATAAGCAATGTAGATAAACAGTAAACCCTTATCCTTATATAAATTTCCCAACATTTACCGTTTCATTTGCTCTGATCGTGTATGATTGGGCTCCCGAAGTTTCGATTCTGGGTGCTGACAAAATTGTTATCAGCTTTCAGCAGGACATTAGGAGTTCCTCACTTATGCTCTCTATATAATACGCATGATACAATTTGGGCGATAACAAATGGGCAAAAAGGCGGTCGTGGCACTCCAAGTTTCAGACGCAAGAAAAACGTTGGTCAGTTTCTAAACTAACTATGCTCGCCAAACACGCCTGGTGTCGCTACGGCTGTAAATCCCATCAGTTACCAACTGAATTTTGTTGACTATTGTCCACTTGACGTTTCTCGCTTGCTTGCTTATGGCAGAAAATAAAATTCTCGCTGGCCGGAAGCTTTTGAACGATAGTCAGGTCACTGACGACAATTCAAACGGCAATCCTGTCGTCAATGTTGATCAGAACGCCAGTGTTCGCATTTGCTCAAGTTTGGTTTGCTGTTACTTGCTGTTAAATATGAACTGGAGATGGGTAATCATATCATTGCGAGCTAAAAATTGTCCGGCCACAAGTTGATAATCCTGGTTTAACGAAACCCTTCAATTATTGTGAAAAATCCTGAATTTCAGAATACCGTAAGCATACGACCAAATATTCACTTTTCCTGTATCCAATGGACTGTGAACTATTCAGGCCGCGTATGCCCTCGAACTTGCTGTAGTGACCAGAGACCAGCAAAGAATGTAGAGCTCCAGGCTCCAGCCCTCAGACCTCTCAGTTGCCTGGTGGCTGCTGTGCGCGCAGCACGTGTTTGCTCTACCTCCACCGTCTGTAGTGGCTTGTGGCGTCTGCTAGTGTCCACGAGTCTGATACTCGATTATATTTACCAAACGGTCATTTGACTGTAATTTATCATGTTGCTTGAAGAAACAGGATACTTGTTTATCTACGATAATATTTCGAATTAACGACCACTGTGTCACTAACTATCGTTATACGATCTGCTGTGTTAAACTCTGGTGCCTTATGCTCGGCATTGAAAGAATCAGAACAAACATTGCACGTCTGCACTGGGTCGTGGCACTTGCGCGCCAACTACAAAAGCTTGATCAATTGATTCATTTTTCTCGAAATTAAGTATAGTTTAAATAATATAGTTTTTTTTAAATAATATTAGTTTATTACTATACTATAGTATAGTAATAGTTTAAATTTCTACAAATACTTTCTGTTCTATTCTCTTTGCTCAGGCTGTGCTGAATTTGTATTTTTTATTTAGTTAGTAGTAGTGTTAAGTAGCTAGTAAAACTGTTAGCATACGGTAGTATAGTATCCTCGGCGTTGAAGAATAGGCCTGCTTAGGCCTGTCGCATATTA